AAAACAGCACATGCATGACACTAACCACTAATATACAGTCCGTCGGATGGGACTATAAATGGTGACCCGTGTGAGAACTGTCCAATCACGCACGGAAAAAATCCCTCTGGGTTTTTCGAAAAAGAGTAGGCGCTTAAACGCCGACACAGAGGATAGTGAAAATTGTATCCAAAATTTTAGGCCGTTAGAACTAGGGTCTCTTTATTAAGACATTTAGATGGACTTCCAAATTTTATACACAAACCAAATTCATAGAATAGGCAGGGGCTGGTGTGGCTGGAGGCAGCACAGTACCTCACTTCCGGTCCTGACTTGGTGATGCTGTACGATGAGTGTTAGGTTAAGGCATTATTAGGCACAGGAGCCGTCTTACAAAAACTAGACTTATACAGTTAATATATATAGGATAGACGGCCCCTTCTCCAAACTTTCCCCCTCTTCTACTCTTTTACTCCATACTTTATCCCTTCTACTCATTTTCCTTTCTGTTCTCCGTCTGCTGGATAACCGAAATACGCGGTAGTGAAGCGGACGTAAAACCTATCAATCAATCAATCAAAACCCGTCAGGTCAGTGGTAAAGGCTCACCAGATGGACTCTACCTATATATAATTGTATCGTTCTAATATGTCACGGTGTGGTGATCACCCTGTCAGTTGGGAGAGGACTATATATATATACCATCTAGATCTATTGGAATTAAGTATATATATAGATAAAGTGTTATTTCAAAGGTAGAGGCTATTTCATGATAGATGTACCTGTATTTTCACCTGTGGTTTCAAGTATACATGGTCACCTGGAGTGATTTATTATACCAATTGAAAAATATAAATTTCAAAACTTTCAAAGACAAAGAAGCACCCAAATATACATAATTTATTGTTTGTAAGGGTGTTGCCCTTGTTCAATAAAAGACAAGCAGTTAAATCCTAATTCATATTTATGACAAAATAAATCAATATTAAATTGCCAAAATGCTCACCTTATAATAAATATAAACTACATGTACATGTCAAGTTCAAATTCAAGTTCTTTATTACCTTAAGTCTTTCGACTCATATCGGTTGCAAAGCAACAAAGTACATTATTTACAGTGCAGCATTATCTCCAGAAAAGCTCCCCCACCCCCCTAAACTTTGAAAAGTGTCCATTTTAAGGGCCTGACACAAACATCAACATCAACAACAAATTTAAAAACAAAAAACTGTTTACAGCCATAAAATATAAATACTCTACGTTATAAAATATAACTTGGAAACTCAGAAAACTATTCTGTACGCCTCTCTCGATCTGTTTGTCAATGGAAATAATTCCTTACGGATTTGCAGCATCTAGGCAGCATCTGAGCAGCATCTGAGCAGCATGAACATGCAGCATTCCTGCAGCATCTGCAGCACATGCTGCTATTATGCTGCAAAATATTGCCCTAGTAATTAAAAGGGGAGCAGCATACTGGCAGCATGTTTCAAATATTTAAATTATGCTGCCAGTATGCTGCAGGCTAAGCCAGCATGCCAGCAAGCCAGCATGCCAGCAGCCTGGCCAATGGCCCTTTTGTTACCATGCTGCCAGTATGCTGCAAGCTAAGCTTGTCCGACATCAAAACTTCTCTGTGACGTCACTGTAAACACGCGTCATCATATAGTGTTGACTGTGACGTCACTGTTAACACACGTTGACACATTTGACCCCTGTGACCTTGAAAGTAGGTCAAGGTAATTTTCATTCTCAAACTTTGTCAGGCTCCAACCGACGAAGCTATCACCCAAATATCATGACTCTAGGCCTGTCCATTCTTCAGAAGAAGTCATTAAAAGGAAAAGTTGACGGACGATGAGGGACGAAGGACAGACGATGCACCATGACATGAGCTCACTTGCCCTTCGGGCAGGTGAGCTATATATATATATATAATAAGGGTCCTATTAGTATTACATCTTTTAGGGGGTTTGTTGAAGCTTAACAAACCCGAACGAACTTAAGGAAAGTGGAAAACGCTTATGTAACTAATGTTATACAAGAGGGACTTGATCAGAACAACTCTAAACCATTCTGGAAATATGTAAAATCAAGGAAACAGGATAACATAGGGGTGGCCGCACTAAAATCACAGGGCACCCTTGTCAGCGACAGCAAAGAAAAGGCACAAATTTTACTAAACCAATTCTCATCTGTCTTCACCCGTAATAACAACAAAATCTCGCCAAAAACACATATAAACTTAAATCAGTTGATTCCTAATCTAAATATTAAGCAAGAGGGAGTAGCAAAGCTCCTACGAAACCTAAATCCTTCCAAAGCGTTGGGGCCAGATAACATTCCAAATCGTGTTCTAAAAGAGTACAGACTACATAGCACCCATTCTGACACAAATCTTCAAGACCACGTTCAATAACAACCGGTGAGCTACCAGTAGACTGGCTAAGTGCAAACATTTCCTGCAACTTCAAAAAGGGAGATAAACACTCAGCAGAAAATTATCGTCCGGTATCACTAACATCAGTACCATGTAAAATTCTAGAACACATATGCAAACATATATTAGATCAGTTGGACAGACATAAGTTACTTACATCTCTGAATCATATGGCTTCCAATCAGGATACTCCTGTGAAACACAACTCCTTTCCACCATTGACGACCTACTGAAATCTTTTGACCGAGGCAAACAAGTGGACATGGCAATACTGGACTTCTCCAAGGCCTTTGACACAGTTCCCTATGACAGACTACTCCACAAGCTGGATTCATATGGGATCAGAGGACCTCTGCACCAATTAATGGCTAAAAACCTTCCTAACTCGCAGGAAGATGCGGGTAGCCATAGAGGGAGAACTCTCTGAAGAGGCAACGGTTGAGTCAGGAGTACCACAAGGAACAGTACTAGGACCCCTACTCTTCCTTTGCTATATAAATGACTTGCCAGACTCTGTGAAATCAACAGTTAGACTTTTCGCAGATGACTGCCTACTCTAGCGAGATAATCTCAAAAAGGACCACGAAACACTTCAAGACAACCTTAAACAGCTTGAAACTTGGGCTGCAAACTTAATGGACACAACTTATATCACGTACAGACAAGCCAAGCCCATACCTAGGATTACAACTATCAGGGGATTGATATGAAGTGGGAAGAACATATAGCAAGTACCACGAAAAAGGCCAGTTCTACCTTAGGCTTCCTACAACGCAACCTACAACACTGCCCCAGAGAATGTAGAAAGACAGCTTACATTGCTCTTGTCAGATCCATCTTAGGATATGGAGCAATAATCTGGGACCAATACATAAAGGCGAACATTAACAAATTGGAAAGCATCCAATCTAGAAGGTTTACAGAACAAGGGAAGAGGGATTCATAACCAAACTACTCAAGGAGCTACAACTTCCACCACTAGCATCAAGACGAAAACAACAGAGACTAACATTCTGTTATAAAATAGTAGAGGAGCAAATTCCATCAATGCCTATAGCAAAGACTTTATTAATTTCCAACATGAAAAAAGGAAAGCAAGACAGCGTATATTCCAGGACTGCGAGGCATCAAGACCAATTCCAAATTCAATCAGGAACAATAACAGAGCAGTCATATAATACCCAACAGCAACACGAAACAATACAGAAACTCATTCTTTGTGCGAACAGCCACAGATTGGAACCACATGGACGACATCACAGTCGGGGTGCAAGGAATAGATGCATTTAAAGCATCAATCCCTTCCAACTGTGATTAAACGAAACTAAGTATCGCATGCGTACTCAACCCCCTCCGCATTAAAGCCATTTTGGTCTCTGTGGAGTATAACATAGATAGAACCCCCTGCTGACGAGTCATCTATATGTCAATTGTAACCTGTAGGTCTATGTAAACATATTAAATGATATTATTTATTAATATTTACCTCAGTAGTTATCATCGATCAGTATATAACTTAGCCAACCGGACGAAGGAAACTTCTAGTCTATTTTTACTTCGCTGTAGAAAACCACCATCTTATCCCTTTTAGAAGGAAGTCGTCACAAAACGCTTGTTACAAGTATGTGAAGTTAACGTTTCATTCAAACACATTCATGACCGTGTCAATATGCTACTTTCGGTTTTACCTAGTATGGTCGTTACTGTAAATTCTGTAGAATTACGAGCAAAATGTTGTGTAGTTAAACAAGTCAATAAGCCAAAAAACATGTTATTTTAACTAACTCCAGATTAAATACTGTTCAAACCAACGAAGAGTAAATAATTTCTCATTGCGTGTACATTTCAGCTGTCGGAACTCTTCTGTGTAGTTTCCGTATTGCTGATATTGGCGGGGTGGTTTCAAATTTGTAAGCACAAAATGTCTTTGAGGAGCTTCCTTTTTGGTTCTGTGGCATCTTACGCGTCTGTAGTTGTGTATTACATGGTGACAAAGGACGGGACATATTCAGGTACCCTATATTACACAATATATTGATCAGTGCGCGCGCGATGTCCATCATGGCATGTTCCAGAGACGTACACGTTAACTGTTGTGTTAATGTCTCTGCATGGTATTAGGTACTTGGCGTCATCTTCAGCCAGGATGGTCACACCGTATAGCTGTTTGAATTCGAATCGCATGCATATGTTATGAAAAGTGTATTAAGGGTTTTAAACGACAGTCTTTATGTATTACTATGGGTATCCCCCCGCCCCTCCCACGGTCATATACAATGTACATTGTATCAGTGGTAACGGATTGTTTCGCCCCAAATCCCGTTCGCCCAAGGTTGTTTCGCCCTAAAAACATATTTGTTTCTTTAAGTCATAAATATCATGTTAAAAGTTAAAAACTTATCTTTCTCTTGAATCAAGATTTCATTATGGGGTACAGTCTTTCGGTACACTGTAGTTTCGGTACTTCAAAAATAAGAGATTTCGGTACTTTTTGTAAGTAGTTTCGGTACTTCAACGATTTTTTTCGGTACTTCGTTTTTTAGTTCATAAATATTTCTCATTTGTCATTTATTGTTGGTTGTTTATTTTTGGTACTTCGTTTATTAGTTCATAAATATTATTTATTGTTGGTTGTTTATTTAACGTTTGCTTTCGTAGTTGTTAAAACAATCAAGCAGATCAGTCAATCATTGTTTTCAAACTTCAAATGAGTAGATCGGAGTAGCTCAACGTTGAGGGAATTCACCAACTTGTCATAAAAATGACGGTTATATATATGTCCCGTTATACTTAGAAATTATTGAAATATGAATTAAACATGTTATATTTATATAAAATTATTCATCAATGTAATAACATTAATCATGTTTTGTTTTTGGTATTCATGACGTGTTAAAAAAACCTTATGTCACTGACATATTAGATATCAAGTTCGTGCTTATATCAAATATACATGGACTGTATCAAAACAAGCAAAGACCACTTCAAAAAATCTATCAAAGAAAAATATTAGAAACATGAGCAAATCAAAATAACAAACTGATACAAACACATGTATTATAACACAAGTTTTGACTAAGAGTTACTTCCCTTGAAGGTATACAGCACGCAAAAAGTGGTGACGTTGACTTAAACTTGGTACCAAAGTGTGTTTTCCATAAGTACCAAAACAACTTTCAGAAATACTGAAACCACTTTCAGAAATACCGAAACGACCTGAATTCATAATTACGTGCCAGAAGATGAAGAACGAACCTGTATATTCATCACCGAAGCCGACAACGGACATACTAATATTCGGAATCATTACCTTAATTAAGTAATGTTGTTGTTGGTTGTTTTGTTTTTCATACAATGCAAAAGTACATTTGTTATAGCTGAAAATCTCACACGCACTAATCTCGCTTCCACCTTCACACATGATTACTGATTGTCATTTTAATACATTTTTCCAATGTTTACATTTACATTGCATTTGTATAAGGAAAGCAGAAAAGGAAAGGTTAATAAAAAGAAAAATGGACAGTGGATGAAAAAAAGACAAGGACAAAACATAGACAGACAGAGAGAGAGACAGACAGAGAGAGATGTCAGGCAATCAGTAGTAAATATCTATATATCTGTATGTATGACTAGCATATGAAAACAGGAGAGAGTAAAGAGCATGTGTTGTCAGCTGCAAATGCCAATATATGTATAGCAATAGCTAAACAAAATATGTTGATGTCTTATGGATAGGAAAAGTGGATACAAAACAACTCATATACTAGTGTCCAATAATATTACATATTATGACTGTAAACAGTATTCTTAAAATAAAGTTCAGCAAATTGAAGATTCAGGAGATATTAATTAACTTAATGTTGTTCTTTATAAAATGCACCTGAACATGTTTTAACGTTAAAAATGTAAAATAGTAATACTTTAAATACAACTTCTAACATAATGTAAACAATTAAAAAGCACCCTGTCACGTCAGCCAACTTTATATCAAACATATTTGAAATAAAGTGTTTCCAGCTGGCACCACAAGGAGGTGTGACTAGGATTTGATAATGCATGAATACTTATAATATATAGATTAAGTATGGACATATAATGAAACTAAATTAATTTCTCTAAGTACAATACTTAGATACATAGATTAGGTATGGACATATAATGAAACTAAATTATCCATAATGTAATGTTGGTTTATAACACAGTATTGAGAAATGTCGGTACTATCAAAACTTCTCAAAAATCTCCTCCAATTAGCAAAAAACAACACGGACATGCGCAGAAATCAAGTAAAGAAAACATTGTCACACGGCGACGATTATGTGTACACTAGACTAAATGTGTTAACATGGGAAAATAATATTGTTGTATACCCCGCAATGTAATTAAAATTACACCATTTTTGTTTCATTTCACTATTCTTAATTATTTTCTAAAATTAAATTCAATATTTATGTTATAATGTGTGCCAGCATGAATAAAATAACATATTCCGTTTTTATACGACCGTCAAATTTGACAGTAGTATTATGGTATGGCGTTGTCTGTCCGGCGTAAACTTTGTTTGTCCGGCAATCTCCTCCTACATTTTTTGACCGATCTATTTGAAACTTCGTATTCATTATAATCATGATATGAAGTTGTGTCTCCCTTAAAAGAATTTTGATTCGACAATTTTTCCAAAAGTTATTGCCTTTTGTTCATTTCAGTATTTGGTTTTTGTCCTGCATTCTCCTCCTACATTTTTCAACGTATCTCTTTGAAACTTGGTATACATTATAATCATGGTATTAAGTTGCGTCTCCCCTAAAAGAATTTTGATTCGATGATTTTTGCAAAATTTATTGCCTTTTTTTCATTTAAGTATTTGATTTTTTGTCCGAAGATTTTCTCCTACATTTTTTATAGCATTTCATGTCAGCTAACCACTCTTAGAATGATGCAGATCTTATTTCAATGTAAGAAAGTATATAACACTAGATGTCATTCGACGGGCGTATTTTGTTCCCCCCCGCCGCCGCAGTACTCTTGTTTCCTTTACAATGTACTAAAAAACAACACAAACACATTTTTTTTTATATAAAACTGATTTTAATGATATGGAAGTCTAAGAAGACTTAATTAGGGCCCCGTATCTTTGATAGGGGGGGCCCTATATAGTAATCACTCTGTCTGACCATCTGTCCGTCCACAAATTTTGTTCCTGGCTTTGGTATTTATTGACCGATTTACATGAAACTTGGTCAAGATGTTCAGTTAACAAAAATACACATTGAGTTAAAAAGTCAAGGTCAAAGGTCAAGGTCATAAGGTTCAAAGGTACAGGTCAAATTTTGCATCTTTTCACTGATGAACATTTTGTTATGACATTATGAAGCAAAGTTGATCAGAAGTAAACAAGGAGTCAACTGACCGAAGGTCAAGGTCATCGGGTGAAAGTTCTAGGTCAAAGATCCATGTCATTTTTTTGATCTTTTCACTAATGAGCATTTTATGACGTTATGAAGCAAAGTTGGTCGGAATTAAACAAAGAGACACTGAGGTAAAAAGTCGAGGTCAAATGTCCAGGTCATTAGGTTTAAAGGTCAAGGTCAATATTTGCATCTTTTCGCTGATGAACATTTTGTTATGACATTATGAAGCAAAGTTGATCAGAAGTAAACAAGGAGTCAACTGACCGAAGGTCAAGGTCATCGGGTGAAAGTTCTAGGTCAAAGTTCCATGTCATTTTTTTCATCTTTTCACTAATGAGCATTTTATGACATTATGAAGCAAAGTTGGTCGGAATTTAACAAAGAGACACTGAGGTAAAAAGTCGAGGTCAAATGTCCAGGTCATTAGGTTTAAAGGTTAAGGTCAATATTTGCATCTTTTCGCTGATGAACATTTTGTTATGACACTATGAAGCAATGTGCTCAGAATTAATAAAGAGTCGACAGAGTTTTGGTCAAGTTCACTGGATCAAAGGTCAAGGTCAAATTTAGTATCATTTCACTGGTGGCATTTCGTTGTGACACTTTGAAGCAATGTTGATCGAAATTAAACAAGGAGTCATTTGACCAAAGGTCAAGGTCACTGGGTCAAAAGTCAAGGTCAAATTTTGTATCTTTTCACTGACGAACATTTTGTTATGACATTATGAAGCAAAGTTGGTCGGGATTTAATAAGGAGTCAACTGACTTAAGGTCAAGGTGACTGGGTCAATGTCAAGGTCAAATATTGTATCCCTTTACTGATGAACATTATTTTTATGTTATTATGAAGTAAAGTTGTTCAGAACTTAACACAGAGTCAACTGACCTCAGGTCCAGGTTACGGGGTCTAAAGGTTCAAGGTCAAGATCAAGTTTTGTATCTTTCACTGATGAACATTTTGTTATGATATTATGAAGCAAAGTTGGTCGGAATTAAAGAATAAGTCAACTGACAAAGTGGATCTCTGACTTTGACCCTTGCTCTTGATGGAGGAGGTATTTAAGGTGAAATAAAACATATAAAAGCTAACAAATGAGTATTGCACTGGTATTTACATTTCTGTTAGCCCAGCAAATATGAAGGTGGAAGCTGAAACAAGACACATCATTGTACATCTAAAATGTATATTTTGCTTCCTTGCGCTTCTTTTTGAAGTCCAAATTTCTGACGTGAAGCTGAGCTATAGGGGCAGATTGCTTCTTGATGATTATGGGGAATATATTGCCACAAGACGGGGCTCTTACTGACATGTCAGTGTTCTAGTTCGTGACTTAAAACAAATAAAAATGAAAAGAAAATACCAAACAATGTTTCGCCCTAAAAACAACCTAGCGCAAAACAACCTAGGGTGAACGGGATTTGAGGCGAAACAACCCGGAACCATATCAGTACCTTGGTCCTCAAGAAACATACACACTGTCAATGAATTAAACCAGTGACCCCTGATACATTTAATGCAGGTCGTAGATGTAATTATAAGTATTTGTCACTTTTTCAGGAGAAATATTGATCAATTAATATTACTGGTGACTGCAATGTAGTACAGCTTATATTTAATTAGTTGTACATGTCAAATTGATGACAGATCATTTCAGTTTGGATATCCTGCTTACAATCCCTGATTGGCCATCACATTTTTTTACTCCTATTATTTAGGCCTAGATCTGTTGCTCAACTTAAGCATGATAGCATAACTTTAGTGTTGGGAAACGCCACACATGATCAATCATCACTGTTTCTCAAATGCTCAATGATTGCATGATCATAAAACTAAATAATAGAGAAACATTCAACAGGGCTATTGTGTACTGGCGGACACTTGTTGAATACCTACTGATATAAGCAGAAATGTTATTTGAGTGCACTTTATAAGAAAACTGTTTGTTTAATCATTTTAAGCTGTTCTAAATCTGAATAATTCTTGTAAGTGTTTGTTACATTCCTAGTGAAACCAATTGATCAATTATAGAAAATCATGATTGATTAGTCAGTCGGAAGTTGAACAGTTTTAAATGACTAATCATTGTTTAAATTGATTAAATGGAACAACACTAGGCATGACTATTATCATTATTGTCTTTCATTTTTGTCACAAAAATAATGCTTTATTCAGTGTAACAGTATTTGTATGTAACAATTGTTCCACTGCATGAAATGTGTGTTCACAGTATGATTACTTTGTTATAGGTAATTAATGCAGAAACGTTTAATTAGATATAGTTCCTACTGCTAGCTGAAGGATTAAATATCCAACTAAACCTGTTGTTGTTGTAGAACCGTCCCCTGAGCTGGCTAGCAAACATATCCTCACCCATGGCATCCCTGACAGGGGACCTAACATTCATGTCTACGACAACCATGTCTTAGCTTATGACCAGGCAAAGAAAACTCCTATTTGGGTGGCAGAAAGGATAACACAAGGGCACGTTGATGGTATGTGTTCTAGACATTACACTATTGACTTTATTAAAGTGATAAATGTCATGTCTAAAAATGTTCAAGTTATAATAATTTTTTTGAATTAAAATCAAACAAAATTAAATAATGACTATAGTGGGATTTGTCATTAAGGCACAAATTATCTTCCTGTGTTCTGGACGAGCAGGCCCAGCTGATAGAAAAAACATCAGATTCAAGCCTGACCCAGAGATATCGACCCAATTCAGTGCGGATAACTTGGACTACCTGAGGAGTGGATGGTCTCGAGGTCATATGTCACCTGCCGGGGATAACAAGCACTCCCAGGTAGGCAGTCAAATATGTACATATATAATAATGAATAATACAGATAGTTGTATACAAGTTCCTATGTATTTTTATCAGACTTGACTATAAAGAAACCTTCTATATTTTCTGCTGGACTCAAACAACAAACGAAGGACCTACAAATCAGCAGCCTGATTAACATGTTCCAAAACTAATTGGTTAAAATCCTGCAATATTGACCAGAAATGTACAATTTGATATAAAGAATTAGCCTGCCAGCAGATTTTGATAATAATATCAGCCCCAACAATCTGCACCTTGTTATAAAGTTAAATAAGCTTTTCTGTTTGTGTTTATAGGAGGCCATGTCTCAGTCTTTTTATCTGTCAAACATCGTACCTCAAAACCTGGAGAATAATGCCGGCTTCTGGAACCGTCTAGAAATGTACTGCCGTGAGCTGACACAACGATACCATGCTGTTACCATATTTAGTGGACCTCTATCTCTCCCTTCTCCATCAGACAATGGTAAATTGGTTGTCACTTACCCAGTAAGTAGTGTTGGTTGTCAATTACACTGCAAGTAATGTTGGTTGTCACTACCCAGTAAGTAATGTTGGTTGTCACTTATCCAGTAAGTAGTGTTGGTTGTCATTTACTAAGTAAGTAATGTTGGTTGTCACTTTAACCCACTAAGTAGTGTTGGTTGTCACTTTAACCCATTAAGTAGTGTTGGTTGTCACTTACCAAGTATATAGTGTTAGTTGTCATTTACCCACTAATTAGTGTTGGTTGTCACTAGCCCACTAAGTAGTGTTGGTTGTCACTTTAGCCCACTAAGTAGTGTTGGTTGTCACTTGAACCCACTAATTAGTGTTGGTTGTCACTAACCCACTAATTAGTGTTGATTGTCACTTTAACCCACTAAGTAGTATTGGTTGTCACTTACCCACTAATTAGTATTGGTTGTCACTTTAACCACCTAAGTAGTGATGGTTGTCACTTTAACCCACTAAATAGAGTGCTCACTGTACTTCTTAACACAACAGATCTTTAATATTAACTGATAACTTAAATATACATGTACCAAGGTTTAAAATCGCTGTTTCTCAGGTACAGACAATTCTCCAATGGTTGATTGTATTTCCATTCTTTGAGTTTTTGTTTTTTTTTGGTTTTATTTTGTTTAACGTCCTATTAACAGCTAAGATCATTTAAGGACGGCCTCCCCTGTACCAAGATGCATGCGTGTAGTGTATGTGTGTGTATTTTGGGAGGCTGCTATATGTTCATGTTTGTCTCCTTATGATAGCGCGGAACTGATGCCGACTTTATAGTGCTACCTGACTGAAACATACTGCCGAAGGACACCCCACCCAGTCGCATTATACTGACAACGGGCAAACCAGCCGTCCCACTTCTAATTTGCTGAGCGTTAAACAGGAGTAGAAACTACCATTTTTAAAGACTTTGGTATGTCTCAGCCAGAGGACAGAACCCAAAGCCTTCCTCACAGGGGCGAACGCTCAACAAATGGCCAAAAGTGAGGCATTGTCAACGGAGACATTATGAAGAGAAAAGTTTTTTAGAAAGGAGAGAAAAGATAAGGTCCCAAAGTTAGTTGCCTCTTACGATTATGCAATTGGGGGCAGCAGGTACAATTCTTACGCCCTACCTGCAGGGAAACATTCTTTGAGTAGATTAAAAATAACTTCTTTGAGTAGATTAAAAATAACTTCTCTTAGAAAGCCAATGTGAATGATCTGTAAATTCGTAAGGGATGAAAAGACCAATAAAAACTTCTTTTTTTTTTTAATAAAAGTTAACCTTTCTGACATGGAGATACCATTTTTACTTTTAAAGAAAATTTCATATTCATAGAATTCAAAAATAAAGTTTTGATTTTGCTTGAGTTAAAAACCAATGTTTGTTTGGCATGGAGCAAAAAAAATTCTTTTCCAACATCCAAAGTCCAATGCTATCATTGAAGTAAGATTTGAAAAATATTTCCTCACTATGTGGCAGGTTTTAATTGTAAATAGGATTATGGTCGCCTTCTAGCTTCGAGCTAGAGGGAATTTCCCTTAAAGCTCAGTGGTAGAGCATCCGACTAGGAACCTGGAGATCGATGGTTGGATCCCCGTGGTTGGAAGCACAATATTCTCTTTCCTGTTATAAATGGTGTCCGTGGCCCTCCCTGTGGTGACAGGGATATAGGTGTTGGAGGGCAAGCACATTTAAAAAGGGGGGAGGTTTTAATAAATTGCAAACATAGGATTACGGTCGCCTTCTAGCTTCTAGCTAAAGGGAATTTCCCTTTACCTCAGTGGTAGAGCGTCCGATTAAGCGTCCGATTAGGAACCTGGAGATCGAGGGTTCCATCCCCGGTGGAAGCACACTATATATATTCTCTTTCCTGTTACATATTTAAAATATAAGAAGAATAACAAATTAAAAATTGTCTTCTTGTTGTGAGTACCTTTTCCTGTTATTTGTAGGTAATTGGGAAAAATCAGGTTGCAGTCCCAACTCATTTATATAAAGTCATCATTGTGGAGGATACAAATTCAAACCCTGTAGCTATTGGCTCATTTATAGTGCCAAATGAGCCAATTGGATTTGAGCATGCCTTGACAGAGTATCAAGTACCTCTGGATGATGTTGAAAGAAAGACTGGAGTCACATTCACGCCTAAGCTTGACACTTCACATCTTGGTAATCTGTGTGAGATAGACTCTTGTAAACTCATGCCAAAAAGAGATTTTGATTCATATTTTATTGGTAGACGTTTGAAAAGTGCTCAGAATAGGCAAAGTTTCGAAAAAGCTTGGAATGAACTTGAAGTCAAAAACATACCTCCTTCCCAATACCATATTGATTTATATAGACATAAGATGAAAGAATTTGAGGAGAAAGAGAGAAAAAATCCAGAGGAATAAAAGTAGTTATGCAATCTATAAAATGTTTGGAATAAGTTTACACATTCTAAACTCTGTGGCTCGATCTGTATCAAACAGATGGTGGGCTATTCAAATCGCTCTTCATTCCTTGTCCGTCATCGTCCGTGTGACATTGAATTTCACAGGATGGTTCCCCATGGTCCCTAGTGATGCAATGCATATCTTATTTTGAGTTGATTGAAAAATTAGGATGGCCGACAGGGCAATTAATCTTGAATTTAGAGTGTTAATGTTTGTTAGTACTATTTCTCTGAAAGTACCAAAGGAATCTTTCTAAAATTTCACATTAAGATTTCCCATGGTCCTTAATTGTGCATTTTCACCTTTGAGACTGATTAGAAGAACAGGTTGGCTTCCAGGCAAACTGATCAAACAAAGAAGAGAAAAGATTGAACTGACATAAAGATGGTATGATTGTGGGCCCCAAGATCTCTCTGTGATCTCTTGTTAAAATAAGATGACAGTAAATTGTTTTACTACAGGAAAAAATATTGGTGTGCAGTATGAGAAATTGTTGTGTTATAAACATTTTGGATCACAATGAAGAATATAGATGTATAAATACGGTTACAGCTGTATGTTACTGATAAAGCTTTCAGTTCAAATGTTAAAACATTTTACTGTTATTTGTTTATTACCAACATATTTTTATTGTCTAAATAAAATGTCTATTTCCTGTTCCTGTTATACATGTACCAACACACTGCCTTGTTGAACATTACAGGGACTGACACCCAGGGGGAGGATGGTAGGGGTAAAATTGTGTAATTGTTTTAAGTGACTTCCCCTCTAGATGGATATCAACCATAGAAAGAAGCGTTTTTAGGAGATTGAATTCGATATTGAGGGGCAGAGTTGAAGGGATAACTTTGCTTTATTGGTTTAAGTGACTTCTTTTCTTGAACAAAGAAAAAGATATCAGCAATATTTGGTAGGAAGCAATCTCAGATAGAATGGCAGACCACCAATGCAAGGGGCTGTATGGTAGAGCCAAAAATGGGTAATATAGCTATAGCACTGACTTCTCCTCTAGAAATAGAACATTGTAGACCGTCTACAGTACCAGGTCCGAGGTGTGGCACAAAATCAGGTTATACATGTAACTTAGAAATAGTTGAAACTATATATACATGTATAGCTACCACCCATAACCATAATTACATTTGCTGAGTATACACTGTGTACATTTATCACATAATCGGCCTGTTATCCAGTGAATTCGCCCGTGTAATATTTTTACATATGTCACTAGTGTAATATACCCTGGAGCGTTTTTCATTGGCTGTGCCAGTCAGAAATTGATTGTGACGTCATAATATGGACAATGACTTGACATCATTGATTGTGAATGGTGCAAAAAAATTGCGTGTCTCCGTTTGATTAAGCCCTCTACATTTTGGCTTTAAAACCCGTCAAAATGTAAGTTTTCTGAGTTATGTGATAAAAAGTATCATTATTAAAAGAGTATTATGAAACTCGTCTCAAAGTTTTAATTTTTGCTCGCCAAGGCTCGCAAAATTAAAACTCCTAAGACTCGTTTCATAAAAACTCATATGAAATGAAAACTCATTTAAGATCCTAGACTCTAACATTTATAGAGACAAATCGATTTACACATGACAAATATTGAATTTATTTTGAAAAAAAATGAGATCCCCATCTCAATGTTTAGACAAAAAGAAACTATCACAAACTACTCCCATAACATGAGAGGGCGCTGGTCGGCCTTTTTCCAATCGGATATGATTTTGCCGACTGCGACCTCTCATTTCCGAAGCACTAATTCTTTGATGCAGTTTCCGCCCGAAATCCGGGCGGAACAAAATCGGCTTGAAAAACTCACTTAAGTGGTTAACAGTTCATGACAACGATGTCTCCTCACGGTTTATATAATATAGATCTCATATGTATGCCACAGACACAAATATATAGTATATTACGGACTAGAACACTCAAAATACATGTCCATGTCGTTGTAGCACATCTCTGACCTACATTTAAAACATGGCTTCTGGATTAATACAAAATAGCAGGGGGGATTTCAAACGGAACGAAATGATACGGAGTTTGTTTGTATTCCGCTTGTGAAACATTACATGTAATTCATTTTTGTATTAACCGGAAAAATCATGGCAAATGCTGTCTGCTTCGCTTCGAATGAGGAAAAACTCATTATTTATGTCTTTGACACGAAATTTTTCTCATATAATCATGGATTTATGGAAA